AATAGATATAAATATAAACCCTTTGTAAGCTAGAGAGATAGCTATATAGAGCTCCTCTTTTGTAAAAGATAGCGCAACGCTACTCTTCGTGTATTTTTGTTAGCTGATGTAAGTAACCAATCCTGAAGGCCTATCGACGTAGATAACCAATCCAGAAGATAGTATTTTAAGAGTCAACTAGGCCTATCACATGACATTACAATTTTAGAGGCAATTGGCCTCTCACGTTAGTTTTTCTTTTCTCTTTTATTATTTTACTCAATTAATAAACACATTATTTTACCAATATAATTTACTTGCAATCCGTTGAATCACTGCCTGGGCGCAACTGTATGAATACTTTTGATAACTAGTCTGACATAAAAACTTGTAAACCATTAAAAGAATTACTGCTCAATTAAAAAGAGTCAGCCCTCTGATACCGCGTCTAACAGTTGCAACCTGAAAAAATTGCACGTTAACAATACCATTAGTAAAAAAATAAACATTAGCATATTATTGAAAATTAATATAAACAAATAAATACAAAAATATGCAAGTCTAATCCTATTACATTTAATTTTTTTAGAGATCATAATCTCAACTTTAATTCAATTAGTATATAAAACAAAATATATTATGTTACTATTTCAGACAAAAAGAAAATAATAATACTTTTCTAACATGAATATATCTATTCTTATCAATTCTTCTAGTTTCTTTTTATTCCAATTTGTATTTTTAATATAAGCTAACAAATATATTTTAGAAGTTTAAAAATCTGATTTATTGAGTTCATTTATTTCTTTCTGTTAGAGTATCTAGGATTTATGAAATAACCTAAAAGTATGATTTGATTTAGATAAAAATATGAATTAGTACAATTTTAATGCCTATTGATATTAATATAATTTTAGCTAAAATTAATCATTATACAGATAAATTTATTTTTTTATTAAATTATTTATTAAAATAGTATATGATTATTCATAAATATTATTATTCAAATTAAAATAAAAAAATTTAAGCATATGAATGCTTTTTTCTTTAAATGTAACCTTATATCTAATAAGTACTTTTATAACTAGGAAATTATGCTTAACATTCATATCAAATACTGGTAATTAAATATATATTCTAAAGCTAATGTATTAATTTCTGATAATAATCATATTATATTTTATTAATATATATAAATTTTTTAGTTATTTTATTAAATCTATAATAAATAATCTATTTTATTCAAAATAAAAGAATATTACCTTTTATAATTCAAATTGCAATATATTAAAGAATCTTTAATATATTTTTAAGTTGTATAAGAAAACATAAAAATTTATAGATATTAATATTAATATTGTATTTACAAAAACATTAAATATATTTTTACTATAATAAAAGCATTTTAAAACTTTAAATAAATTAAATATTCTTTGTAAAAGTAGAAAAAAAGATATAAAATTGAAATTTAATATTTTTTTATAATAAATAACAAAAAATTTAATATCAAATAAAAAAATTATTTTTACTTTATAATAGATCTAATAAATAATAAACTCTATATAATATTCAAAATATTTATTATTTATTAATGTTAATATAATAATATTATTTAAAAAAAAAAAATAAATAAAATATAAATAAAATTATTTTTTTCTTTAAATCTATATATAACTTATAATTATAAATAATAATTAATTTAAATAAATTTGATTAATAAAATAAAAGTTGTAATTAATAAAATTAATTTACTTTTAATATTTCTTAAAAGGATTATCAGACCCTTTATTATATTATCTAAATAATTAATAGCATTGACATCTTTATCTTTTCAAAAGAATTTAAAACTCAATTGAACTAATTTTTAAAAGTTTAAGACTACCACTACTTTTTAAATCAAATTATCTTTATACTTTTAAACTAATATATAAATATTTTATTATTATATTTATTGTAATATATTCTTTTAATTTACTTTAAATTAGTAAAACTTTACTAGATATTAAATTTTAATTAATACTTAAATTATTATTAAACTAAAAAAAACAAATATCTTATAATAGCTTTTTGTAATTTTTAACAAATTATATTTAGTGTTATTATCCTTTAAAGCATAATTATAAATTAGCTATAAAACTTTGTAGAAAAATTATAATATTTTAATATCTCGTGATTATAAAAAGATAAAATAAAGTTTATTAGATTTGTTATATTAAGATCTATCTAATGATAATATTTTTAAATTTTTAAAATTAATAATTATTAATATATACAATTAACTCTCTCTACAGCAAATTTTGATATAACGAAGAATATTATATGGGACAGACTGCAATAAAACCAGACAAAGTGAACATTCGATTATGTGATGTAAATGAGAGGCTGATTATAACATAGCTGTAAATTGACCAGTGTGACTGATGACGTTTTGAAAAGGTACTCATTCATAACTTAATTTTAATGTTCTCTTTATCATACCAGAATGTGATGAATATAAACCATAACAGGATTAATATAGGACTATCCCTATATAAAATATTAATATGAAATTAATTTATATCAAATCTACTATGGAATCCAAGAATTACAGAACTATTAGAAATATTTTAAAGAAAGCTCAAGGTGAAAAAATTGTTCCTTATGTTTTTAAAGTCAATGATATCCAAACTCTCCAGCAATATCTAGATCAAGAAAAAATTACATATGAAATTTAAATTACTTCTTTACTTTTAATCAAGCTCATCTCTTATTTTCTTTAACTTCAATTTGAGCAATGTGTTGAGTCTGCTGTTTTCTTAAGAATTCAACCTCACTTTCAAGTCTTTGAATTTTATCCAATAATTCTTGCTTTTGTTTATCATGTCAATCCTTTGAAACATCTAAGGCTTCTAAATGAGAACTGATTTCTTTCTTTGCATTAGCTAGTTGCTATTCCAATCTACCAACATAACTCTGTGCCATTATTTCTGTTATGTTTGAAATTTTAACTGGTGGTTCATCCTTCCTTAAATCACAGAAGCAATCTATTTTATTTCTTATAGCTCGACCACAATCATTACAATGTGGTAGAGCATTATCATCAAAATCCTTTTTGCATTCAATATAAATATAAACAATGTTACTATAATCATTATTGCTGGTATTGTAAGGTAATATTTTGTAAGTAACATTTAAACTTCTTTCTTTTTCAAAAGAGCAAAAATTGCAATGTCATTTATCTCTTCTTCTTAACTCGATAGCTTGGTATTCTAACTTCATTATTTATCCTTTTGTAAGATGTAAGTGTTGAATTTCTCTTGAGTTATTGCTTTTACTTGCTTAATTCTGCTTTTTACTTTGTTAGTTAAGAGTTTAAATTTGTTTTGTTTCTTTGGCAAAGTTGGCAGTTCTTGAAGTTGCTTGTTTGTTGAATAATTTTACCATGCCACAACATTTTCCAGTACCTCTATTTTTCTTGAAGCTTTTTCTAAGTTGTCATCTTTTTCTTTGCTTTACCTTACTCTCCATTGTCTAGCTACTTCAAGAGTATCTAAATGGCATTTAGAAATGTCTTCCTCTAATTCTAATGCTTCTTCCAAGACTTTTTGTTCTTCTTCTAATTGCTTATTTATTTCAAGCAAATCATTCCTCTCTTGCTCTAAATTAGTTGTTAATGACTGTAAACTTTTAACTTCTTCATTAGATTTCACTCACCAAGACATTGCATTGTGATGCAAATAAATAAGGCGAACAAAACTTTCTCTAAACTTTTTGTCTTCTAAATGCTGTAATGCATAAGGGCGGAGTCAAAAGTAATCTATAACTGCTCTTATCTATGCTTCATTTGGATTTCGGTTTAAACTACCAATTAGCTCTTTTATTTCCTCTTCGGTTAAAATATTATTTTGGTTTGTCATGAGTTTAATTCCTATATTATTATTTTAATATTAAAAGTATTAAATATAAAGAATTTAATAGTAATAGAAACAAACAAATACTAATAAAATAATAAAATTTGCAGTTGACTGTAATATTTTTATTCATTATCAGTATAGATTGGTTTAGGACAACTTATGTCTTTGAATTCATCTCTAATGAAGGGCGAATATTATGATAAAGATATTCTTGTCTTTTGTAATCCAAAGGAGACGGAGTTAGAACCAAAACAGAAAAAGATTTAATCTCTTTAGTAATTTCAGAAACACTTGCTTTTCTGGTTTTCAATAAATCAAATTCAGTGTACGAACCATTAGCGACCAGCTGAGCTTTGACAATACCAGGCTTGGCTGCTTCAAATACAAAATGTTGATATTTTTGTTAACCATTCAATTTTTTAAAGAAAATCTCCAACACGGAATTAAGATCTAAGTATTGAAAACCTTGTCCGTTGTCATAGCGTTGAGCCTTGTTTAATCCTGCTGTACTCGATTTTTTCACAACCTCAACGATATGGTCTACACAATCCACTGTCATCTTTCGGTAAAGTTTCTTAATCAGTCCGAAACTACCATCACACTTGAATTTAGTATGTCCAGGTACCATAAAATTTAATTCGATACTTTTATAATAACCACAAATTATTAAATACAGATAAAATCAAATGGTAGCATTGTTTTTATTTTGACCATAACAGAGAACCAATTTCGCAAAGATTCTAGATATGCATTTTATTCACAAGTGGCATTGTAATAACACAAATCGAGTGGTATACCTGTTATTATGCTACAGACTAAAACACTATAACAATATGTACAAGTTTTACGAAGTAAAGGCTTAGTAGAAATCGATTACGAAAACGTCCAACTCTACGTTATGGAAAGTTTACATCTGTGATCCATGCGTGTTGAAGCGCCTGTGTAGCATTCATTTTCTTCTTCTTCAATTTATTCACAAAAGTCTTTCCATTATCTGAAATTGACATTTGAAAGCGCATTATAAGCCTTTCTATCAGTTTCCCCAACTGGTATATGTCAGATAACGTAGTGTATTGGTTGTTGGAAAGGGTCCTATGGTTCCAATCACTTAATCGTTCATTCATCTCCTTATTAGCTTTAACTCCATGTTCAAAGTCTATAAGTACATATTTCGAACCAGCAGGGTTTTCAGGCACAAACAGGACATTGGGTTCTCGAATATCGTGATGCACATAATTGCCACTGTGCAGACAGTCCAGCCTAACAAGTAAGCTTCTTACCATCGAACGCAACTCGGTCTCATTACATGGTAACCTTCGAATACCACGCGTAGTCATAATCAAGCTGTATGTCAAGCGACCTTTGATAGGTCATTTTTTGAGCTGAACAAGATTCAAACATCCTTTTGCATGAGCATACATTTCTCTTAGAAATGCAATACGCTTTCTCAGACTGCCATCAACATATGGAAGATACTGGAAACTAAGCTCCTTCACAACTGAGTCATCGTAGAATGTAATTGTTGAACCCGAAGCTTGTTGAATCAGTATATAAAGAGGGATAACATCATTGGAAAGATAAGGTCCTATTGTCACCAAAATTCGCAATATGTTAATAGTCACAGAAATAACAGTGATCTGATCCGTGACTTTCCAGAGGTCAAATTAAGGTGACAGAGTGATTAAACTGCTTGGCTTTGAAGCGGCCTCTGGTGTACCGTCAATAGCATAGAAGCCGATTTTCTATCCAGCCACAGCATAGTAGATAAGAAATTGTTGATCGCCAAAAAAAAGAGGATCAAGCTTATCAAACTTATCCGTGAGATCACTCAAAGCTTTGTGAAAAGAATTTGGAGTAGCCTTTTCTTCACCCTTGAGCACGAGAACATTTTTATGGTAAACAAGAAAATCTGGTCGACAAGTTCCTATTGTTGTAGTTGTCCACCCCCTAAAGCAATTGCAGAGTAAATCAGAACACAAAACTGTAAATACTATCACAGCAAGATAGTAACTGATGAAGGCTTACATATCTACAGTGTTGCGACAAATTAAAAGGTCTAGGCTTCCAGGCACAGCATTACGACTAAACAGACGAAGTGTGTCTTTGATCAAACTATTTATGACGTGATGCAGATCATCCTCACTTTCAATATCTGAGACATTGTCGTTAAACTGTCTACTTAGCGCTACAGAAACATGGCTGGCTAAATCACTATAACTGTCATCTTCGTTTGTATAGACCAGTTCCAAAAGCTCAGGGTACTAAAAGTTTGCAAAAATGGTTGATTCTACTATTAATGCGGGTAGTCACAATACTATGTATATGGAAAAAGTTGATGTCAAACCTGCTCCTCCTCGTGCTTGGATGTTGGCAACTTGCAAAGAAGTTGTGCATTTATAAAAGGTTTGAGTTGATCCGCTCAGATCGGGATAGTTTCAAATTTAGGTATTAGTTTCTGGCAAATGATAGCAATTCTATTAATACGAGGTCTCTTCAACGCTCGCTCACTCTCTGAATCTAATAACGGAACAGAAATTAGAACTATCACTCCATAAATTAATTTACAACCTATGTCTCTAATGCCCAAGTCACAAAGTCATTACCTGGTTGAGTAGTAGCTGCTGTGAGGTCTCATTGCAACTTTTCCACCTGCTCCAAACGATCCCTCTGTTCTTCTTCAGTTGCGTCTTTTCGAGCCTCAACCTTGTCAACACTCTTTCCTCCCGTTCACTAAGCTCTTCGTCGTCCAACTCCTTCTCTTCCAGCTCTTCCAGCCGTTGTCTACGTTTACTCTCCTTAAACTCTTGCAATGCCCTCTCCGCCTTCCTTAGCTGCTCCTCCGCCTTCGCCAACTCTCATCTTACTTCTTCAGCTGTTGCCATTTCTTTTTTTTCGTTAGTAGTAGAGAGAGAAAGATGTACTGCGTACGATGTGATCTAATACCACAGTAATAATGCTGATCTAGGGTGTTCAGAAATATGTGGTGATAAATCTCAAAATACAGTGGTGTGCAAAAAATGATCAACTGGCGTAACTTACCCAATTTTGGTAAATAAATATGCAAATGAAAGCCTGATGATCTCTCTATCAACTTTTAGCGAAACCTTTCTCACACTTTAACAAAAATTTTATTTTATCGAATATCAAAATGACCTCATCAAAGCAAGAAACGCAACGATAGGCCATATTACATTTCTGAAAGCAAGGAATACGAGATGCTATTAAAATACAAAGTTTAACAAAGATTCCAATTAGTACTATCCGCCGAAACCTTAA